GCGCGCGCGCGCGTGCGTGTGTGAGTGAAGACATGCGCGAAGCCTTATCTTCCTTATGTCCTCGTCGTGGGCCTCTCTAGTGCCAAAAAACACTAATGTTCAAATGAGCATATTAGTTATCTATAAAGTGCCTATATATTATGTATATTAAATATATATTAGAAACCTATAAAAAAATATGTCGCAACCGATGTGTCCATGACTGTACATATACATAAGAAACTAAAAAAATATTTTTTTATTTTTCTTATGTCCAAAATGGCGGCGCACTGGTCTGCACTTGTGAAATCCAAAAAATCCCGAACTTAGATATCATTTTAAAGCCTCAGGGGTGGTGATACCCCTTAAGCACATTGCTATCATAAAATCAACCATTTGAGCTCGCGTCTACATTTATTGAAAGATTTTGCGTTTTAAGACAGTCTTTGTTTTGAAACAATACGTGACTGTTATTTAAATTTTTCGCAGTCAGTCACTTCCTATCGCATATCATTGACACAACATGACGTATCAATCACCTGGAAATGAATTAAATTATTTAATTGTTTGTTAGAGCGCCCCGTTACTCAAATCAAATGATACTTTATAAAAAATTTCAATGATTTTACAGCAAAGAATATAAATCATGTAAGAACGTTATCAATTGTTAATCTTTATAAAAATATTATATAATATTTCTATACATATATTTATATATAAATATATATTCTCTCAGTTGTTGCTTTATGCATACACGGAAAAAAAATTGCTGTTGCCACAACCTAATAATTGTGATCATTTTCGCCCATCAATTTAGAAGAGTTGTAGGAACTAAAATACTTTGGAAGTGATTTATATAGTTAACTGAACTCTCAGCTTCAATGTTGTGACGTGCAACTATATCATATATATATCTCTCAATCATACTATTTGTTGTACAGACCATACTAGAGAGATAACAATAATGCTTCGGTTGAGGCAACCATATATATGAAGATATTCTAACCGAATATTATTTATCCTAAGCACTAACGGTTGTGACAACCGTACTGATGAGCATACCTTAACAGATGAATGCCATGTAACATCAATATAACTTAAATTCACATGCATTTC